TTTATTTGCTAGGATCTGTAGTTGATAATTTACTAATTTTTTTTTTTGTATATTTTCATCTTGTTTATATAATACACACACAATATATATATATATATATATATATATATATATATATATATATATATATATATATATATATATATCGAGCTGTACTAATTAAGATTCTGCTGTAAGGCTCGGAATCCTGCCCACCGTAGACTAACTAGATTCTCCAGCTTGGTGTCTTCTATAAGCGGTACCTTCATAAAACCAGCAGCTATAACCGGGAAGAGAAAATATCCAAAATTTGAAACCATTTATCAGTTTGTCTGACGATCGCAAAAGCGTGAAACCTAGGGTCACAGACTCACATCAATCTAACTATATATATATATATATATCGAACTGTACTAATTAAGACTCTGCTGTAAAGCTCGAAATCCTGACCCACCCAAGACTAACTACATTCTCCAGCTTGGTGTCTTCCGTAAGTGGTACCTTGGTAAAATCAGTAGATATAACAGGGAAGAGAAAATATCAAATATTAATCTGTATTCAATGTGTGAAGTTATAGGGTATAGTGATATTTTAATTCAATTCCGACAGTTCTTGGAAAGAGAGAAACCCCTTTTTGCGTTACATGGATAAACTTATGCAAATCCTTTTGTCTTTGGGGAAATGACTTCTGATCGTGTCAAATAAAGGAATGCGTCCTTAGAGATGTCACACCTTGAACATTTACGCATTGCAATGCAGAACACTAAACAAAGGTGTAACATTGCTGCAGCCTTCAAATTGAAATGTTGCTTTTTGTCCTTCCTTTTTTATTATTTTTTAGTAGAGGATAGCACGAGGAGTCAGATACTTACTCTTTCTTACTTTCTGTTTTTTTTCTTTTTCTTTTTCTTTTTTAATCGGTTGTACTCCCAACAAGGCAGAAAAGTCACTAAGACACAAGAGGCAAGGGGTGTGGAAGAATTATGAACAGAAACATTAATAATGATTGGGAAGATGAAAGAGTTATCAGGAGGACAGTAGATAGCGATTGACATTGCATTTATTTTTTTGCAGATTAAAGTTGGTTGGAAAGCATGGAGCCGAAAGGGAGTTCCACAAGTGCGAGAAAAACTGCTTGCGTAGAACTTACGGCTACATCAAGCCAGCTCAGCTGTAAACTGATGTGATCTCGACGCCAGTCTAGTACTGCGCTTAAATTTAAAAAGTCTAGGTACCATACTGAAGAGTGATATTTATTCTGTTTAATACACAGAAAGTGTGGCACAAGGCCGAAAGGGGGATTGGGAAAAGGACGGTCTTCTCCTGTCTTAACTATAACTTAGCTAGCCACAAACACTAACCCAATCGTACAAACAATATTCCTTACACCAAAACAACACATTCATACGTACCTTTCTTACTACAATTACCATAATACCTCATTGTCTCTATGAACATACTAACTAGTCCCCATATTTACAAATCATTGTATGTGGGGGGAGGGAATAAAACAAAAAAAAATTAACTCAATTAGTATTTACAATATGAATACAAAATTATTTACAAGAAACTAAAGAAAATAATATTAGTAATACTTCCCCCAATCACTAAATGTGCCAGAAATATCAGTTAACTGTTCGAAATCAATGCGGGACTATAATAGTATAAAACATTCATTCATCCCAAGCACACACAATGACACGCACTCATTCAAACACAACAACAAATACGAAAACAATCACGCGAAACGAAAGGCGCCCCGCATCCACCAGCAAACTGACATCACTAACCACCTAACGAGGGAGGGGATAGGCAATTAAACTTAAAGAAAAATAGGGACAGAAATAAAAGGGGCCAATGAGCATACATACCCTAGCTAAATTAACTGAAAGAAAAAGAAACTAAAGCATCAAAAACTGAACCTAACGCAGCCCAATTTCAGGATGGGTTGCACAAGTTCGACACAGGAAGAGCAATATCCTAAGCGGCATCAAAGTGCCACTCAAGGTCAGCTCCTTTCACACAACACAAACGTGCAAGATTCACCAACCTTTTGCCGAATTCTGTTGAAGTAAGCCGCCGCCTTTCCGTCCTAATCTTGAAAATTTCGAAAAAATAAAATTCGCTTGAAAATGAAACAGAACGTTATACATATCGAAAGTTTTATATATCCACGCGCTCTCTGCTATAATTTTAACCATTGTGAAGGATGAATTTTATTTTACTTTTAACTAAATATATATATATTGTTTTTTTGTTTATATGAAGTTATAGGAATCATTTATTTTACAAACACGGTCATCATATCTTGTCCGTGTTCATAGTTGATATTATTGTGTGTTGACTTTTCATATTTATTAATAATGGTTCGATTATTTTTACTCTTTTTGTACATGTAGATCATGCAATTATATTTGTATTGTCAAAGAGTATGTTGCGTATAGAGTTTGGTAGGCCTCCATGTGTATTTAAATGAGACTTTATTGAGCTACGGTCGGAGAGATGTAATGTATATTTGTGTGTGTGGTTGTGTGTGTATGTGCGTCTCCATTAAATATATCATATGCTCTTCAAAATATCGTCTTCTCTAATGAATATTATTTTATTTAATGTAGGCTGCTTGTTTTGTAAAATAATAATTTCTAATCTTTTGATTATTTCCTTGCACTACGTGCTTTAGAGGATTTTGTCTTTATCCACTAATATCTGTTTTATGTTGATAGCTGCATTTTCGTTGTTCGTCATCTGTTTGTCAATATGTGCACGGATTGCACTTTGTTCCGACAGATGACAGGTTATTATATATGTAAAGTACCAGGTTGAGAACTGACGCAGGCTAGCTGCCCTTGATGAAAGTGAAAGGAGACTCTCTGAGCTTTTGTTAGTAATTATTTTAGTGTTGTTTTCATGATAAAAAAGACTTCAGATTGTAAGGAAAACGCATAACAGCTTAACCCGGTCATTATATTGCATGTGTTTGCCAGGAGGCAGGTACTGGCTGATATTGGCTGTGATCCGGAGAGGTTAAACTCCACGATAATAACACATGAAGAATGTCGTTCGGAGTTTCCATGGCAAGTCAGTTGCACTGTTATATTTTTTTATTGACAGATCTAAAAAGTGGCAATGGTCCGACACAAGCCTTCACCACTTCAAACAAATCATTGTGTTGGTTTTCTGACAACTACATTTAATTAGTTCCACACATATCTGGCTGCTGTGAAAAATTCTATGAAATAACATCAACTTCATCTTGGCATTTGGAATGTACGAACTCTCCAGTACAACAACTCAGCACCAGAAAGAAAAACATCTCTGATTGCATTGGAGCTAAAGAAGTACAACATTGATATAGCTGCACTGAAAAGTCAACATCAGTCAGCTACATGACACGAGATATCAAAATAAGACATCTAACAGTGTTCCTGCTGCACTTGGACACAATACATTCTCCTGTACTGTTTGTAGTCTTTTGTGCAGTTCTTTGTGCTGGTCTCAAATGTCATGTCCCTCATAGGCATGCAGATAATTAGTTCGTGGTCGTCGGAACCTCATACGTCAAACTCGATGGGAGAGTCCATCATATATATCATCCTTTCTACACAGCCCAATTAAATAGTAAACTTACCAGCACTAAATTTAGTAACAACAATTTTTTTTAGAAATTACCAGTAATATGCTTTAAAAATACCAACAATAGATTTTATGATCTACAAACTATATACAGTGTAACCCGGATATAAGAGACCCGGATATAAGAGAAACCCGGATATAAGAGATATTTTCTCTGGTCCCAAATTAGAGCCTGTGTTAATGTATATATATAGACCAAACCCGGATATAAGAGAAACCCGGATATAAGAGATTTTTTCTGGTCCCAAATTAGAGCCTGTGTTAATGTATATAATGATATATTTTCTCTGGTCCCAAATAGCCTGTGTTAAATATATAATAGACAAACCCGGATATAAGAGAAACCCGGATATAAGAGAGATTTCTCTGGTCTCAAATTAGAGCCTGTGTTAATGTATATATTAGAAGAAACCCTGATTTTCTCTGGTCCCAAATTAGAGCCTGTGTTAATGTATATATAATAAACCCGGATATAAAGAAACCCGGATATAAGAGAAACCCGGATATAAGAGAAACCCGGATATAAGAGAGATTTTTCTGGTCCCAAATTAGAGCCTGTGTTAATGTATATAATAGACCAAACCTGGATATAAGAGAAACCCTGATATGATTTTCTCTGGTCCCAAATAGAGTATATAATAGACCAAACCCGGATATAAGAGAAACCCGGATATAAGAGATTTTCTCTGGTCTCAAATTAGAGCCTGTGTTAATGTATATATAATAGACCAAACCCGGATATAAGAGAAACCCGGATATAAGAGAGATTTTCTCTGGTCCCAAATTAGAGCCTGTGTTAATTTATATAAAATAGACCAAACCCGGATATAAGAGAAACCCGGATATAAAGATTTTCTCTGGTCTCAAATTAGAGCCTGTGTTAATGTATATATTAGACCAAACCCGGATATAAGAGAAACCCGGATATAAGAGATATTTTCTCTGGTCCCAAATTAGAGGTTGTTAATGTATATATAATAGACCAAACCCGGATATAAGAGAAACCGTGGTCCCTTTACCTGTGTTAATGTATATATAATAGACCAAACCCGGATATAAGAGAAACCCGGATAAATACTTCTTCTCCGGTAGCCAACTCTTACATCCGTTTGTATTCCCCCAAAACTGCAACCTTACCCCTGAAAGTATAAAATTAGGTACAAAATATCTGTAGATATTTTGATTTCGGCTTTAGTAATCTATAGAATTTGATATACCGCTCAGTAATATCAATCAACCAACCAAAAATTGTTCTTATGCGCATACAACAACCTCATTCAGGAACTATCTTTTGGGCCTTGTATTAGAAAAAGATGAAAAAAAAAAAGAAAACAATCCCTCTATGTGCCAGACAAAGAGTTCAAGCCCTGGACTGAGTATTGACTAACGGGATACGGAATACGGTACGTGTTTCAGTAAGAATATCAACCTTTCTACACAGCCCAATTAAATGGGGAGCCGTCTGGCGATAATGCTTTAAGAACACCCAAAATATGGCTTCGTAAATCCTCTGATATGACGCCACCGGTCTTCAAATAACATAGGACTTGTTGGAGGTCGACATCAATAATAGTATGACTCATATGAAAGAAAACAACATGGTATGAAAAGGCAATCTCATCCGATAACACATTTAGACCGTCCCTGTGGTAATAGGTCCGTTTATTCTAAGTTGCACAAATCTACATTTAATTTTTTTACCAAATACAAGTGCCGTCTAAAATAGTTGTGCCGGTTTTGATGTTTCATTTAATTCAATGTGCGTGCCGTTTCTAATACCGGGATTTTTTTTTATATCATTTATTCATATAAGACGCATATTCCAGGGTTTTGAAGGCATCTTACCCTATCCTAATGCGTCTTATAGGATTAAACATGTGTGTGTGTGTGAATATATTTCTTTTTTTTCTATTTCCTTTGGCTTTACCCACGAAAATTTCCTCGATTTTTCGGCTGCTTTAAGAAGTAGAACTTATGGTAGAAGATGCGCCAGAAGATAGCTTGGAAAACTGCGTTAATCATTGCCATCTGCTTCAGCTTTCCCGCTGTTTTATTCTTTTTCCTTTCTTCTCTTTTCTTTAATTGCATTTCTAGCTTTTGAGGGACAGAACAGTATAGAGATCAGGGGACTGTTGTTCCTGGAACGGGTCTTCTTAAAGTAAAGATTGAGTTGGCATCAGAAGCACTGGTAAAGGGTAAGGTCTGGTGTCAGTTAGGTTTTCTGTACATTTTTTTTTCTTTTCTATTTTGTTGAAAGTGGTGCCTTCATTGTAATAAGATGGTTGAGTGGGCATATGTGCGTACGCAAGCGCAAGGGCCTTGTTTGTCGTCTTGTGAATATTCTCGCGTTTTTGGCTTACGTCAGATTAGTAATTTGCGTCTGATCTTATCTAAAATATTCTTCTTTCCTTTTTCATCTTCCAGACACTTTTTTCTAAACTTTCTTCTTCCTAGTTTTTTGGGTTTTTTTTTAACGATTTTTATTTCTTTCCCAAACCGATGGAACTCTTTGCTATTTTTCTATCCTTCTGTCTTTCCTTTTCTTCTTTTATCTTGTCTAATTTTGGAATCATTTCATCTCAAGCAAGGCGATAATGCCACTAAGACGCAAGAGGTTACAGAAAGCGAAAGAAAATGAGAAGACTTTAGGAGAAGGAACCGGAAACGCAAAACAAAAGAGGAAACAAGAGCTAAACCGCTAGTCTTGTTCAAAAGACGAGGGAGGAGTGTGAACCGGACGATAGGCAAACCTATCTACTGCCATTTTAATTATAGTTTAGATCAGAGGTTCTCAGTCTTTTTGCCCAATAAACACTTCATAATAAGTCGGAAATTTATTCCATCCCCTTTCCAAGACTGTCGGTCTCAAAACCGGCATTCTAATTATATATATATATATATATATATATATATATATATATATATATATATAATATGTATTATTAAAATCTTCATTTTTTTTTCTATATTAGGACATATATATTTACATGGATTATTTTTATAGGATATTTTTCAAATTTGATAGCAATAGAAAATATTGTATGGATTTTTAATCTAAAAGATATTTACAGTAATTTGTTTTAATTCGTAACTAATTATTAAATAAATAAACAGAGAATATCTCAATAAACGAAAATTTCATTAGAATGATATAGTATTGCAATTCAGTAAAGAAAATTCCGTAAATAAAAAACAAGAAAAAGGATAAAAAATACCCTTTCCATTAAAACCATAAAATCAGCGGGTGAGGGAGGTGATTAAACCAATCCCGGTTAAGAAGTCCGGCTCTAGAATTTCTATTAGTCATCCAATACATGGCATGCTTTCAAGAATATGATTATTTTCCAATTTGTATTTCTTTCTAATATAGGGTGTTTCATTAAGACGGATTATATATAAAGGATGTTTCATTAAGACGGAACCAAGTCAGCAGTAAATAAATCATATTGGTTCATGTTATTTAATTCTTAGCAACTATGTGTGAAAAATAATATCACCTAAATGCCCGTGAAATCTGAAAGAAAAAGAAAAAAAATCATTAAACGCTTAAACTTAATTCAAATTTAAAATCGATCCAAATTATTGGAACGTCCTTTAGAACTGATTTCTATTTCATAATGTGAAGAGTTCGACCCCAGCTTCATGAATGGCGGTCTTGCCAGTTAAGCCAGTTACAATGGAAAAAAGCAAATATTAAAACACTCACACGAGAGAGAGTGAGAGAGAGAGAGTATGAGAGAGAGATAGAGATAGTTAGATAGATAGATAGAGAGAGAGAGAGAGAGAGAGAGGGAAACGACATTGTAACTTTGATGTAATCTTTATTGCAGGCCTTTTAATTCCAAAAAGAAATCTCCGTTTGAAGTCGTGCGCTAGATTAGATTTCCAGATTACACCAATTTCAATCAAAGCGGTCTAAGCTTTAGTTATGAGAAATTTTACATTCATTTCCCTAGAATTTATCTCGTCTCCTTTCAACAGGTATTAATGATTCATCTATTGCGAGCTATTAGTGGCCACTTGTATTCGAGGATACCTGTCTAGTAAGGCGGCTAACCAATCAGTATTGCTGATGCTTTCTCAGGCGTACTTGTGTTTATTCAACACCGACAGACGCACCTGTGGTTTATACTGCAACTACCCCGAACAGAGCTTAAGTAGACTTTCTGTAACCCCTTTCCAAGAATATCCGACTCAAAAGTTGCATTCCAAATAATATGCATGTATTATTGAAAATCTTCATTTTTTTTTTCAATATTAGGACATATATATTTATAAGTATTATTTTTATATTGCAGTTTTTCAAATTTGACAGTAATAGAAAATATTATGAAATAAAGTGTATCATACTTCAATAAAAAAAGGGCAATCGTATACCAGTGTATTTTAATTATGTATTAATAATTATTATTATAATTAAAAATAATTATTATAATTAATTACTTTTATATTTATATAAGGCGCAATATGACGTAGCTAGTGGACATGTCTCGCTATATCAATTACGACTGGGTAGTGAGTTCGATCCTAAATGGGTGCTATACACTTTCGAGCTTGTGCCACATGTAAGCTCGCTTAGAAAATCATTTGGGTATTTCGACGTGGTCCAGTGGTTAACAATCTTTTCTCGCGAGATCAATTACAACTGAGTAGAGAGTTCGATTCTCCCTGGGTGCACCTGACATTCGGCCTTGTGTCACATTTAAGCTACGCTTAGTAAATTACTATATCGAGATATAAAAATTGCTTTTTTTTTAACAGCTGTGAATCTGGATTGATTCATTCGAAGTTCGATATTCATGAAATCCATCTTAAGCTCTTGGTTTTTTTGCTGAAGTGTTCGATCGTCTGTGACTATGTCCCTATTGAATGATCAAAGCTAAATGTCAGGAGTTGTATTTTTCCCAGCCAGTTATACAGGGTGTGGCCACTGAAAGACTAAAGGATATACAACGGAAATAAATAAAAAATTTCCCTGATAACGGCTAATCGATAAACCGGGAATGATCGGATATAGAGAAAATTTGGACAGTTTCAGTTACTTAGAACTTAAAGCAGTGAGCTTCAGAATCTTTTGACTAGTGAAACCCTTTCACCATATGATATCCACCCTTTTCCAAGAGTGTCAAATTCAAAAGGTGCATTCCAAAAATTATGCATATATTTACTAGTTAGTATATATATATATATATATATATATATATATATATTAACTAGTAAATAGTAATATATATATATATATATATATATATATATATATATATATATATATATATATATATATATATAGTGTAACCCGGATATGAGAGACCGGATATAAGAGAAACCGGGATATTAGAGAGATTTTCTCTGGTCCCAAATTAGAGCCTGTGTTAATGTATATAAAATAGACCAAACCCGGATATAAAAGACTTCTTCTCCCGTCCCGACAACTCTCTTATATCCGGGTTACACTATATATATTCGAATCCATTACATTCATTTACGTGCTAATAACATTGGGAAATGTATGAATTCTCTTCTCCCACCAGCTATGGGCAAATAGCAGGACAGACTGGGTTCTATAGCCTTGGGTGGCAACTGGTCTAGGTGAAGGACAACTCTGAATTCAAAATCTGAGGGGGGTTGTTTGGGGACCTTGTGGCACGTAGTGCACCAAGTCTCTGTATTCGGCCCTTCAAAAAGTATGGATGGTCCTGCACGAAGCCTTCACCACTATAACCAAATCTCATGTGCTGGTGTCGGGCTGTCGGTTTCCTAGGAACTGATCTGCTTGACCCTCATACGTCGAACTCGACGGCGGAGAGTCGTGTATATATATATATATATATATATATATTTACCTGGATTATTTTAGAGAGGAGTTTTACAAATTTAATAGCAATAGAAAATGTAGAATGGATTTTTAATCTCAAAGACATTTACAGTAATTTGTTTCAATTAATAACTAATTATTACATAAATAAAGAGAAGCAGACTTCAATAAACAGGTATTTTTTCTGGGCTTAAAGTTTGTAATAAATGAATATGTATATTTTTATATATGTGTATCCATATGTGAAAAACTGCTAAGAATAACGGAAGCACCAATAATAATAATAATAAAAAAGCCTACAATCAATAATATTAACTATGAATACGGCTAAAATGTGCTGACCGTTTTGGAAAATTTATAAAAAAATTCTCATGTGTATATAAATCTACATATTCAATTTAAAAATTAAATAAATAAATAAAGTTCTTAATAATGGCTTATAGAAGAGCTGAAATCGTATATCTAGGACATTTGGGCAATTTCAGTTACTTAGATCTTAAGGTAGTGATTCTCAACCTTTTTTTTTTTTTCTAGTGCACCCTTTTCACCAATGTCATAAAGTTATCCACCCTTTTCCAAGAGTGTCCGACTGAAAAGGTGTATTCTAAATATTATGCTTATATTTTGGAAAATCTTCCTTTGTAAATATATATTTAAAGGAGGCACGCTGCAGTAATGGATAGGACTTGGACTGAGGAATCGGAGAGTTTCGATTCTGCTAATATCTTTTGGAAAAGTATGAATCCTCTTCTTCTCCCCCAGCTAAGTGGTAAATAGCATAACAGATCCGGTTCAAAAACAGATTGACTGACGGAGCCCAACGCTCTGCAGGCCGTTCAAAAATGGCCTGGAGTGGGTTGGGCTTCGTCAGTGAATCTTGCCCAAGAAACACCACTTCTACGGTGGCTGCAGTACACATGGTGCCCCTACGACCCTGCAAAATAGCAGAACAGACTAAGTTCTATAGCCTTGGATATCAAACGGTCTAGGAGAAGGAAAACTCCGAATTCAAAAACGGCCTGGAGAGGGTTGGGCTCCGTCAAGCTATCTTGCCCAAGAAACTCCACTTCTGCTGTGGCTGCATTACACATGCTGCCCTACGACCCCTACACGGGTCACAAGATAATATATATATATATATATATATATATATATATATATATATATATATATTCAATTTAAAATATAGATAAATACAATTCATCCTTGATAACGGCCGAAACTTAGCGGATATAGAGAACATTTGAATAGTTTCAGTTAGATCTTAAAGCAGTGATACTCAACCATTTTTTTTTAGCAGTGCACCCTTTTCACCAAGTGTCGAAATGTTATCCACCCTTTTCCAAAAATGTCCGACCCAAAAGGTGCATTCTAAATAGTATGCATATATTTTTGAAATTCTTTCTTCTTTTCCATATTAATACATGTACACCTACATGTATTATTTTTATAGAGCAGTTTTACAAATCTGAAACCAATAGAACATGTTGATGGATTTTTAAAAATTCTGAACAGTAATTTGTTTTAATTAATAACTAATTATTAGATAAATAAACTGAAGCATACTTCAATAAACAAGATTTCAATAGAATGTCAGGGTATTGGAATTCAATAAACAAAAGGGTCAATAAAATGTCAGGGTATTTAAATCGATTTTATTCTGAAGAAAATTACAGTAATGAGTAACTTGTGAGAATTAAAAGATTTTTCCTTCGCTGCCTACCCACCGTGGAATTCCCCCTGGTACGGAAACACTGGTTTAGATATATGGAAAAAAAAGGAAGGCATCAATTTAAACCGAAGTTATGGGTTATAATTGAAATGGTAAGAACAGAATAATGTCTGCAGTGATTAAAGAAACCCCAGGTGCATTTCAGAAATATTTTAAAACCAATGCAACATTAATGCCGTGGGAACAGACTTTCTTTTCTTAGATATGAAGTTAAATTCCTTTTACAAACAATCCCTTTTTAGGGATTTTTTCCATATTTTAAGAGATGGGAATTGTTTGTTAATTCCTTTATTTCCTTCGCCAAATAATCGACATTTTCTTTTTTTCCTTTCTTTCTTTTTTTTTAGAAGACATTTCATTGTTTATTTCTTTTTCGCCATCTTACAGTAATATCGTTTACCTTTTTATCTTTCATCTTCTTTCTTTCATTTACTTTCTATATTTCTTTCTTTCTTTCTTTCTTTCTATTTTCTTCTTTTGCATTTCTCTTTGTTATTGATTTTCCTTCATTCTTTTATTCATTTGTCATAGAGTTTCTTTCTTTTTATAATTTTCTTCACAGCATTTTCTGATATTTTCCTTCGACCATCCACTTTTTGTTCATGTTCTCCTTCATTTTCTGAGTACTAGCTTTGACGATAAGCTGCATCCGGCAGCAAGGCCTTTGATTGGAATATCTGAGGTTACGAGGCCGGTGTAACCTCTTTCTAATTGCTTTTGTTCCCAGGTCCAACTGCCTAGGAATGGTAGCATCTGTTAGGGTCCCAGTTATTGACAAATAATAAAACCCTAAACAAAAACAAAATATTATGAAAGTATAAAAATACATTTTTATATAAAAATATCAACAATGACTATTTATAATAAAATTACCAAACATACTTATATACAGGATGTCCATAAAGATCGTATGCACTTTAAAAAATTATAACTTTATTTGTATTTGCGATAGAAATAATTTGTTAAAAGAATTAGAAAGAAGTAAATCTATATTTTTAAGGTTTTATGGAAATTTTATTTAAGTTTCCACATGTTCTCCATCATTATCAATACAAAGAGTAATACGATTTTGCAGTTGACGTAAAACATTTGACAATGTTTTTAAAGCAATGCCTAAAATCACGTTAGTTATCTTAGCTATACTTAAAACTAGGTACATTAAACTTTATAACATTTTTTACAGATTATTTCTATCGCAAATACAAATAAAGTTACTATTTGTAAAGTGCACACGAACTTTATGGACACCTGTATA